TCTAGCACTTTGTTGGATGCTATCTGAAACGGTCCACAATCCTGTTCCTTTGATAAATCCATGCGAACATTGTCCAGAAGTCGACGGAGTTCTTCAACCTAAGCATGGGATTTGATGAAACGCTATACTAAACACCATAATTTCTAGAATTCCATCCTCTGGTTTAATAAAAAAAGAAGAACGTGGGCACATACTAATGGAATCGCTTCTAGCAAACCCGTAGATTCCTTTTTGAGTGAAGGATACGACGTAGCCGGAAGATACCTACGTAACTGCTTCAATCCAAGAACACGACTGAAACACAAAAAATTCTTAATTCCAGTAGATTCTTCTTTGCCGTTTTTTTTTTGTTTATCCATTACATTATCTTGAAATTTAATCATCAAGTTAGTTGTTGGAAAGTCAGAAAAATGAGATTACGCACGTCTTGGGCTCATCTTCCACGTTTGCCGTAGTGCCTCCCGTTCTTGAGGGACCAGCTACTGTGACCTTATTCTTAGCGGAAGATGCTGCTAACAAGAGCGGAGACGCTTCTAGCATTAATTCCTGAGAATTAGAAGACTTTGCGGCATTAAGCGATCATAGACTTTAAAATCTCACCTCAGTGTTTGCCAGATACCACTTTTTTGCCTTACTCGATAAATTGACACATGCTCCAAACGCCATATCACCCTTCCTAATTTCAGTGAGCCAACCATGTATGCGTAATTGTGCTCCTTACATAGAAACTCATTACATTATGGCTTCCCGAGGTATGTAATACAAACGGCACCTAAAGCCTTCCACCATTTGTCACTTCTTTCTTTGCCTATGCCGTAAAAGGAACGAGTCGAATCGCGTACACGGCTCTTCTCCTTTTCCTAGAATGAAGTAAGCTGCATAAGAAGAGCTTATAATAAGAAAAAAAGATGTTAAAGATATTTCCACTGTACAAACGTTCTAAGAAGTAAGTCCTTCTGGCGATGCGTCGCAGAATGTTTGGAAACATTGCGTTACAATGAGCAATTATGAAAGTGTGTGATGCAGAAATGAATTGCATTCGGGGAAGATGTTGCGATCACAACTGGTGCACCCAATCAAAAGTAGACGACTTTCATAATCCTGAACATTCAAAAACATTCATCGTTTGTTACCCAGATCCTGCAGAAGATCGCTATTGTGCCACAGAAACTTTAGTCCTTAAAACATTATCTGCAAGAAAATTTCTCCCCACAATTTTGCATTCGAAGCATTGAAAAAATTATGCTTACTTCCATGCAATTCATTTTATTTGTGACTTTCAATGTCAGTTGTAATGAACTAATGTAGCAGTGTTGGAAGAGGACAAGATTTATAATTTTTCCAAGCTTTTTGAGGACAGTCGTCTCTCAGACGTTGATGTCCTCATAGTTGACAATCTATTAAACGTTGGTGTAATAAAATATCGCTAATTTTAAACTATTCTAACTCTCTGGAAAAACCCACCGGATGAATTGTCGAATGCAAATATCGTTGATTAATATCAAAATAAAATATCAAGTTTAGTACTCAAAAATTCTCAAAAACCAGAGATACCATATACAGTATTCGGTCTTTTTCGCACTCAATCTTTCCATTTTCATCTGGAAGAAGTAAATTTTCTATGACAATCTCTTGCAAGTCGGGTACCAAACGCACTCCTCCCTTCTCTTTCCCTCGCCTTTAAAAAGGTGAAGCAATCACAGCCGCTCGCAGCGCTGTTCATTAGTAAAAAAAGTCATCGCTGGGATTTTTATACCAAGGTGCAGTCAGTTTGGATGCAATATCACAAGCTAAATCCATACTTCGTACTGGAATTTAGCGTACATTCAAAACAGAAATTTTCTCAATATTTTTTTCTTCCCTTATTCCTACGCCGGCAGTCACCATAGCACTTTACGCTAAGATTTTTTTTAACCTTCATACACTCACCAATCCACGAACGAAATCCACAGGTTTGGCAAGGCCACTGTAACCTTTGTACACTTCATCAATAACTCGGAACAACCATCGCGCCTCTTTACCGACATCTATGCATTTTGAAGAGGAACCCTAAAACATCATAAAGGCTTAGATTATTCAGGTAATTTCGCGCCAAAAGGTTTACATCTGGATCGTAGAAGATAAAAATCACCTGTTGGTTATTTATCTGCCAATCACAGTTGTCGCAACAACTTGATCGAGGCTGCGATGGAGCAGCAGTAGATGGATCAAAATGACTAAGCAGTAGACTGAATACAATTCTTTTTTACTCGACTATTCTTTTCTTAAAAAATAGATAAACATACTATCTCCTGCAGCGCATCGAAGTCAAGAATTCTTCCATGGACCGAAGCATCTCGAAAGCATGAGAAAGATACGGTTCTCTCATGGATTTGTTGATGCGAGATCTTCAAAAGGCGACTCAAACAAGATTTTTCTTTGATTAGGAGAGTTTAAAAAACCTATTCATCACAATGTCCTTTTGCGACCAAAATGCATGACAGACGGCTGGATCACCGTCTCGACCAGCTCGACCAATTTCTTGATAGTAACTCTCTATATCCTTGGGACCTGAGACCTATCGTTCAATAAAATTTTCCAATTCATTCACTTCTAATTGACTAAAGGAAAAATTGAAACAAACTATTAGCAACTACAAGATTTCTAAAAGCTCACTTCCATAGTGGATGATCTTGCGGACATCTGACTTATCAATTCCCATACCAAACGCAACGGTGGCTACTATGGTGGTGTACTAAAGATATAGCTTTATTAAAATAAAGTTCAGGTCTTTATAGTTGATGGTATTCACTTTATCCTGGATGAAGCCATGATGGGCTTCATTCTTGGCCTTCTCACTCATCCCTGCATGATACATGGCACATTTTACTCCTCTAGCTGCAATTAATGGATTATTCATAAAGTTTACAAACAAAGTACCTTCTGTGAAAGTTGTTGGCT